GCGTAGAGGTGAAAACTAGTAAATGGGATCTCAATCATAGCAAAACAACTTCATATCTAGTGAACATAAAGACCTAAGAGCCCTAAAAGGTCAACTTTCCACAAATAAGCCCAAGCACGTACTCGTCACCTCATGTACACGAACTTTACATGATACAATTAGCATAGAAGACTCAAAATCCTAAGGGGTAGTTCCCCCACACAAGGTTAGGCAAGATACTTACCTCAAAGAAGACAGACAAATACTCTAAAATGAACTTCTCGGGTGAAATGATCTCCGGACGGCTCAAATCTAGCCAAAATAACTTCAAAGCATAAATAAAACTCATAAGAAACTATTCCGGATCATAAAGCCTCAATCTTTATCAAAAACTAAAATCAACCCAAAAGTCGACCCCCAGGCCCGCACCTCGGAACTCGACAAATTTCACAAAATCCGAACACCCATTCCGATGCTAGTTCAACCATACTAAAATTATTAAATTCCAATACTATTTGGTCCTTCAAGTCATCAATTTACATTTTGAAAGTTTTCTTCAAGATTCCCATTTTTCCTCAACCCAAAACACTAATTAAATGATAAAAATTAAGATAAATTATGGAATATAATAAATTCTAGGAGAAGAACACTTACCCAATCGATTTGCTTGAAAAACCGACGAAGAATCGATCAAAACCGAGCTCTAGAACTCCAAAAAATGTTAAAAATGGCAAACCCTCAGAATAGAGTACTATTTATTCTGCCTAGGTGCTAAAACATCGTGAACGCAGAAGACAGATCGCGTTCGCGAAGAAGAAAAATGAAGGCTGCCAAGATGTGCTTCGCGAACGTGACAGATCGCTCACGAACGCGGAGAGGAAAATGAAGGCTGCCCAGTTTGTACTACGCAAAAGCGACAACACGCTCGCGAATGCGGAGAGGAAAAATTGGTCACCCAGGTCTACTACGCGAACGCGAGAGGTAGAACACGAACGTGAAGAATGGAGTGGCAGAACTTCGCGAATGCGAGTAGAAGATTGCGAATGTCTCATCCTCCAAAATAACACTACGCGAACGCGAAGACAAGGACGCGATGAAAGAAACCAGATGACATAACACATCAGTCCAAAAATAGAAGGAAATGGCCCGTAGCCCATTCGAAATACACCCGAGGCTCCCGGGACCCCGTCTAACCACACCAACGAGTTCCATAACCTAAATGGACTCGCTCGAGATCTTAAATCACATCAAACAACGTCGAAACTACGAATCGCACCACGAATCGAGCTTATGAACTTTCAAATCTTCCAACTTCTAAAATCCACGCCGAAACCTATCAAATCAACCCGGAATGACGCCAAATTTTGCAGACAAGTCCCAAATGACATAACGGAGCTTTTACAACTCTCGGAATCGCATTGACCCCGATATCACCAAAGTCAATTATTGGTCAAACTTCTCCATCTTCCAAACTTCTACTTTTCCAACTTTCGCCGAAATGATTCAAATTACCCTACGAACCTTCAAATCCAAATCCAGACGCACACCTAAGTCCCAAAATCATCATACGAAGCTGCTGAAATCATCCAAAACCTATTCCAGAGCCGTTTACACAAAAGTCAAATTCCGGTCAACCTTACCGCTTAAGCTTCCAAAGCTAGGATCCTTCTTCCAATTTGACTCTGAATCTTCCGGTTGAACTCGGCCACACCCGCTCGTCATAACACGCAATACAAAGCTTCTCAAGGCCTTATACCGCCGAATGTGACTTAAATTCTCAAAATGACCTACCGGGTCGTTACAATTCCTTTTTTACCCAGCAGGTTGCTAGCAATCAATTTGCAATTGATTTTGCGAACGTTACTGCTCGATTATGCTCAATTATCCCTGTCAATCTTCTCTCTCTCATCTGTCTTCAACTTCTCTTTTCGTGTAGGTTTCAAGATTGCTGTAGAAATCATTATTCTCCTTCATTTTATTGTCTTTATTGGTAAAAAGTTCTGCTTACTAGGTACCGATTTGTGATTCTTGATATCCAACTATGGCATTTTGGGACTTGTGAAAGTATAACTTTTTTTTTTGTGTGTTTGCTGAATCGCTTGTGATATCCGGCTGTTGTTAGATTGATAGTCGATTGATTGAATTGATTCCTCCTCTGCTCCTCTATTATTTTATGAATTAGGAATTTTATCGCTCGCGCGATTATTAATCACATCAATGTATATCTTGAATTAAATTTAGTTGAGATATAATAGATGGTTTTTAAGTATATATGCATAAGCAAGTTTGAGTATCTCTGTTAGGTACACAATGGTACTCTGAGAAAAACACAGAGCAAACAATACTATCTAAGCTTATTCTCCATCGAACCATCCACTCAAGACTCCAAAAACCATCAATAAAGGCAAACATGTGATTTACAATTTGAATATAAATAGATATAGTTATTCAAAAAATCTGTCAATAGAGGCAAATATGTAAGTTATTTGTTTCATTAGATGCAAACGTTCACCATGGATAATGAACATCAGCAAGGCTTACTTGTTTCATTAGATGGTAAAAACCACTACTGATAATGCTCATCCGTAAGGACACGACTTTCGGAGATGACTTGGGAGTGACATTTCTCGCCTTCTTATTCTTTCCCCCGGCCGCGGAGGAACGTCTCCGGCAGGGACTCCATAAAGAAACACTTGTACCCGAAGCAGGCCCGGAGATACCTGTTCGAGTAAGTGCATGGCCACATCAGCAGGATCAGACAAAAATCCCCCTCGGGTATCACAATCGAGCATGCGGGTAGACCTGATTTCAGAAAAAAGGGAGAAGGAATCAATCAATTTTCTTACATAAAAAACAGACACGAGATGAGTCTAAGTTACCATGATTTTTGGCCTACCACCCGTATTTGAGGGCCAGTTCTTTCCACGTGCGGGTTTCGAGCGTTGTGACGTCCAATATTTTCTGGACCCACTGATCCAAACCTTCAACCCTAGATGGAACCTAACGAGTTGCTGAAACAGCCGAAGGATGGAGGATCGATACGGATATGAAAAAATTCTAATGAAAGAAACATCTAATAAAGAGCTTATGAGTGCGGTTCCATGACCTCGGAAAGGATGAAGCCATTGCCGGAATGATATTATTGGTGGCAACTGCAACGAACAACTCTATCCACCCGCGGTTGTTGTCATCATCCATGCTTGATAATAGAGCATGGTGGCTGCGTTTGCTGAAGTTTATCATTTTCCAGCGGAAGACTTTGGGGGAATGGAGATCCATCATATGAGCTAAAGATAACTCATCTCCCATCTCCTGGCACAAACGCCGAATACAAGCAATCGTCCTTCACACAGAAGGACTTACTTATGCCAAACCCATCTGGTAGCGGAGGCTTAATCGCAATAACGGAATCAAGCTCTCCGCTCAAAGAAAACGCTCCCAAAGTAAAGGGATACGTGTAAAAATATATGAAACCCTCCTTGGGAAGGGTTACTCATTCTGTTAGATCAGGAGCAACAATGTCCAAATTATGACAGTGACAATCTTCCTTCACAGCAGAAATACTGGAAGGACGGATGGAAGAAGGGTATCTGCCAACGGCCCACGTGCGAGGGTTAATCGAAGGGAATTTTTCTTCGAAGCCTTTTATTGTAACAAGACTTCTAGGGATGAAGGAACACACCGTTGGAGGAGCAGCGTCCTCGACTTTGCTCTTGCTCTTTGAAGAGCTGGTGTTCTTTGAAGAAGAAGCCGTTATATTTTATGGATGAAGGAACAACTTTTCCATTTGAAGGGAGTTAAAGAAAGGTTGAAGGACAATAAAGAAGATTTTAGAAATCTTGGAAAGTTATGGAGTACGAGTGAAGAAGATTGATGCGTATAAGTAAAAGTTTAGGCGGCTAAATTCATGGCCATGATTACCTCGATAACCGGCAAAAGTTATGCTGAATCGTGGAATAACGCGTGTTCGGGGCATTAAAAGCGGAGAGACGTGGGTCTAATCAACCGTCAGAAGCCTTTAAGAAGGAATCATAATAATTCCCGCCAAAAGAGTGTTTCTACCGACTTTCCGGTGACACAAAGCTATGTCACCGGAAAACAAGGGGACTATTTGTATAGGGTAAAATATGCTATGTCAGGTGGCCGCTTAAAAGAATGACACGTGGAATCGAAGACAATTATCCCGTTTAGTACGGGGAGGAATGGCACTCATAAAGAAGCAATAAATATCCTCCGCTCGGTGGCATTAATGAAGAATATTTCACAGCTTTGAGTGCGCTTCCCGTTACAAAGAATTTATCATTTATGCTCACCTTTATACCTTCATCAATGGCCCTCATAATTAACATTAAAAAAGGGCACGATCCTAGGACCTTGTTTCCTAGACGTAGCTACAAATAGTGAGCTCTGTTATCATTGTAAAGGGAGGAATTTTTTGGCAAACTGATACTATAATCAATTCAAAGCTCTATACAACTTTATCTTCTCACTTTTTGTTCTTATTACTGTTGCGCCCGAAGGCCTCGTTACCAGAATCATTATTTCTGTTTTTTCGTCTTCTTATCAAGGCTAAGTGTTACACATTTCTTCAATTATTTCATTATTTCAGGATCGAATTAATTCACTTGTCTAGAAATCACCTATAAATTCAACAATACCGTTTTACGGGTAAACAATAGCGAGCATTAAATCTAATTAACCGATAAAAGTATTTACATTGGTGATTTTGTTGACTTTTAGAATTAATTTTTGTATGAATACATGAAGTTTATTCATCTATTATTACCAATTTAGTAAAAAAAATTAAATCAACAAAGTATTATGTAAAAAGAATTTCAACATCGACGCTATAAGAAGGGGAGAGTGATTATTTTCTAAAGTTAGTGAGTAATTTGATTGTGTAAAACAAAATTAGAGGAGGAAAATGGTCTTTATCCTTCTTAAGCAAATTAACCCACGCCCCAGGGCTTTCCCAAGCACCCAACCCCACCCATCATTCAATCTATCCCTCGTTAACTAACAGCTCCAGAAAAACACCCTTTTTCTATTTTTAGTAACCAAACTCTTAATAAAAATCTTCTACTACTAACGAAAAGGGTTACGCCACCCATTTTCTCTTCCCCTAAGACTACTTTCCAAAAATAGCACTCTCTGAAGTCTGAACCCCCCCACCCCCACCAAACCTTAACCTCATCCCCCCTAAAAGCTGGTCCCTCTTTTTAATCTCCCCATCTTCCTTGGAATTCGCTCTTTTGTTTGGAGTAGTAACAGCAGCTTTGCTTTGTTGTCAACACGTACAAGCTGAGTTCCAAAATCAAAGTCGGTTCTATTTGATATTTCATAATATACCCTCCTAGTAATTTCCCAAACTTAGGGTTTGGGATTTCCCCCCAATATATAATACGTGTGGGTGAGTTGTGTGTGATTCTGCCCTTGCTTTGGGCTTTCGGTGAGTTTTTGTTTGATTTGTTGATTGATTGGTGCTTTCTTGGAATTTTCTTCAAGAAAGTTTGCTCTTTTGTCCGCTCTTCTGTGAAGTTCTGGACCCTAAGGGCATTGCTCAAAAAGCTGCTCTTTGTTTATACCCTTTTGATAGAAGAGAATATATTTTACATCTTAGTTTCTTTACTTGTAATTTGGTGTATAAATAGTCTGCCATGTAAATTACTATTTATGCGGAGAATAAAGATTATTTATATGTGGATAATTGCAGGTTTCTTAAGTTGTTGGATTGTGGATTTGGGAGGAATAAGATGATCTTGATTTTCAGATATTGGATTCTGGGTATGCCAATAGTAGAAGACTGTAATAGCTTGAGTTATTTGAGCGTTCTCTAGCATTTGGTTAATTAATTGGAGAATTTTTTCGTTATTCTCCTTTAAAATGGAAAGGGGAGTTGGTTTTTGGGCCTCTCCGAGAAGTCAAATGGAGGGTGTTGTCTCGTTTGATGCTGGTGCGAGGTCTTCAAATGTAGATGATTCATTCAACAATGTTATGGAGATTATGAATCTTGATGCTTACACTGGATGGTGCACTAGCCCTAGTGCAGCAGAGCAGATGTTTGCCTCTTATGCAGCATCTTCGCAAATTAATTCCGTGTCTCAAAGTTATGCACCGTTTGAAGGATTGAGTTACACAGAACAAAATACTGGAACATTTCCTCCAATGGATGCCAATATGGTGGGAAGTACTGATTGTGGAGGAGAGAAAATGATGTTCGGGCAAAATGATGAGCAGTTGCATTTTGTGGTAGATTCAACTGATGGTGGCGGCTTGGTAGCTAAAAGAAGTAAAAATTCAAGCCAGCAGGCTAATGATGCTGATATTAGCAACTCTATGATCGTAAGGTCACCTTCTCAACCACTTGCTGAGAGAATGCTTAGGGCGTTGGCAATGTTTAAAGAGTCATCTGGTGCGGGGATTTTGGCTCAAGTTTGGATTCCAATGAAGAATAAGGATCAGTATGTCTTGAGCACGTGTGAACAGCCATATCTTCTTGATCAGGCACTTTCCGGCTATCGAGAGGTCTCTAGGAAGTTCACGTTTGATGCAGAAACAAAACCAGGATCGATTCCAGGTCTTCCTGGTCGGGTGTTTAGTTCAAGAATTCCAGAGTGGACGTCAAATGTTCTGTACTACAAGGAGGCTGAGTATTTACGTGTACAATATGCTGTAAGCCATGAAGTTCGTGGATCTATTGCTTTACCTGTCTTTGAGGATGATGCATATGAAACTCCATGTTGTGCAGTACTGGAACTCGTAACAATGAAGGAGAAACCAAATTTTGATTTGGAAATGGATCATGTTTGCCGTGCTCTCCAGGTTCCCTCCTCTTTTCTTGCAGATCTTTTCCCTTGTTTTTTTTTGGTTTGGGTGGGGGGGGGGGGTTACTTTCCTTTCTTTGAGTCATGAACCCTTTTGTATTGTAGCTTTGAAGTAATTTATGTTTGGTTCAATCTATACTTCTAGTTGCAAATTGTCTTTTACAGTTCTTTCAAAAGAGAGAAAAATATGAGTGAAAAATAGTAGATTTTTGTTTTGAGTATGTTTTGTTCAAATGCGATATAATAAAAAGAAAATATGAGTGAAAAATTAGTAAAAGTTATTTTGTAGCATATTTATGATATTAAAGCTCTTATTTTGAAGGTTTGAACAATTTATTGTGTTGCTTACTTGCTTTACTATTTCTTGATGCTAAGCATGGCTTTCTATTTTTAATCAAAAAAGGAGGGTGGGGAGTTTTGTTCATGGTTTATTTAGCTCGTCAATCTTTGTACCTTGCTTAGAACAAGGAAGTAATATTTCTTGCGCACGTCACGTGTTCGAACCCTACCGCAAACACAAACCTGGTATTGAAGTGGAGAAGGGTTGATTGGTGGGCCCATTATCCATCGATTTTTGTGCCACTGGCCCTTGGGGTTTCGCGGTTATCAAAAAAAGAAGAAAGGAAGTAATATTTGGTTTTTCGTTTAATTATATATTTTCCAATTATAAACGGTTCAAGATCTTAATACAGTATGTGATATTCTTTCTTTGTTGAATTTTAGTAACAGTAATTTCTTCAGAATTGCATTCTATTTCCACTTACAGGTCTTAAGTATCACCTATAAGCAAAGAGATAATACCAACTTGCTTGTCACTTATTCTTTTGTATATCATGATAAATATGGGATTTTTTCCCCCCATTTATTGCCCTTGCCCGGTACCCACGGACCTCTAAAAAGGGAAAAAGGAGAATAAAACCAAACCAGGCAACTTTATGAGTAACTTGCTTGGTTGTTTTATGATACTATAGTATTACATCCAAGGGTGTGGCCTAGTGGTCAATGAAGTGGGTTGAGAACCGTCTCAGGTTCAAATCCTAGCGGAGGCAAAAACACTAGGTGGTTTTTTCCCATATTGGTGGATAAAGATACCTGGTACTTGCTGATGGTGGGAATAGTAGGTATCCTTTGGAATTAGTCGAGGTGCCTGCTTCTGCCTGCTGTTCCGGACACCACGGTTATTAAAAAAATATGATACTATGGTGTTCTTGTTTCAACTTTATCTCAACCAAAATAAATTATTTTATACTTTTTTCTAGTACATATGCTTTTTGGCTGATAATCTATCAGATATCAAAAGTTTATGCTAAAATCATCTCAGAAAACATTGAGACAGTATATAAGTAAGTCAGTAAAAAAAAGTTACAAAATTGAGACAATTGCTATGATATGATGTCACAAGATGCGCTTTTTCTGCATTTATATTGTTCTTGCTTTATCCTCTTGAGCTCGTGTTCTTGTATATCTCTAGTTTTGCGGTAAAAGATGGTCTAACCTGTAGTTTGTGCTCGTCTGCAGGTTGTGAATTTAAGGAGTATTGCACCTCCTCGACTTCATTCTCAGGTATACTCAAAATGTTAATTGCACGTGTTGCATACCAATCATGTTTATTTATTTACTTGTTTCATTCTTTCTTATTTTAGTTCTTTTCTAATCAGTTATCAGACCTTTTAACCACCTTTTCTAGATATAATTTGTGTTTCCTCATCTTGCAGAGTCTCTCAAAGAATCAAAGAGCTGCTTTAGCTGAGATAACAGATGTTCTGCGAGCAGTTTGCCATGCGCATAAGCTGCCTCTTGCTCTGACGTGGATTCCCTGTAGTATCACTGAAGGAGAAGGAGATGAAAGCATAAGAGTCCTTGCTAGAGGATGTAATGCAAGTTCAAATGAAAAATGTGTGTTATGCGCTGAGGATACAGCTTGTTATGTGAGTGACAAGGAAATGCAGGGATTCGTACATGCTTGTATGGAACATTATCTTGAGTTAGGTGAAGGTATTGTTGGGAAAGCTCTTCAATCTAACCACCCCTTCTTCTACCCTGATGTGAAGGAGTACCATATAAGCGAGTACCCACTTGTTCATCATGCACGAAAGTTTGGTCTAAATGCTGCTGTGGCTATAAGATTACGTAGTACATTCACCGGAAATGACGATTACATATTGGAGTTCTTTCTTCCTATCAGTATGAAGGGAAGTACCGAGCAACAGCTTCTCTTGAATAACCTTTCAGGTACCATGCAAAGAATCTGCAGAAGTTTGAGAACAGTATCAGATGCAGAATTGGTTGGACAAGGTGCTACGTTTGGATTACAAGATGGATTTGCTCCCAATTTACCACCGATTACATTGTCTAGAAGGAACTCTCAGCACTCGTTAGACAGCAATTCAAATTCTGCGAGTGTGGCTCCTTTAGGCGTATCTGATTCAAAGAATGCTGGAATACAAGCTGATGGTTCTCGCGAACAGGTATATCACGCAATTTTCTTACTAGCAATATTTTATCGAGTCTACATCCAACTAGTTATTTTAGTTGAGTATTCAATTTCAATCGGCTTTGGTATAATGTGATCTAGGTGAGCACATTTGATATGCTCCACATTCATACTGCACTTTTGAGCATACTCTTTCTTTGACACTTGTTCTATGTGTTCCCTAACAACCTGTGTTCAATCTGTTTTTGGTTTATTTTCTTAAATCATCTATACTGAAGTTTTTTTTGCAACTCTTATTGTAGACAATGATTGGATCAAGAAGACAGATGGAGAAAAAACGAAGTACAGCAGAAAAACATGTTAGCTTAAGTGTTCTTCAGCAGTACTTCTCTGGAAGCCTGAAGGATGCTGCAAAAAGCATTGGTGGTAAGCATATTTCTGTCAAGTATATCAGTCCCACTAATTTGCAAGTATACTGGATACCTGTAAATCATTACTTTATTTGTTGCTGTGAATAGTTCCTCCTCCCATTGGGTGTTAATTTCTGATTCAACAGTTCGTTGAGAAAAATTATCTATTAACTTTACGAAGATTTCATCCTTAGTCCAAATGCAGGATTAAGTGTAAACACAGTCAATGCTACTGAATATCTTTCCCCCCTATTTGTCTTCGAACATGAATTTGGGCCTCTTCCTCGCCCATTCAAGACCCTTCTCTAATAAGTAGGACATGCTATTTCTGCTGACTGTTTGTATATTGTCTGGAATTTTATGTAACTGCTTCATTTAAGTGACAACTTCTGCATAACATGAAGGAGAACAAAAAGAAGGCAGAAGAAAGCTGAATCCTCAATAATTGGTTAGCAGAAACGGATTTTGGGGATCCATTGCAGTATGCGCTATAGTACATTGAATTTCTCACTATCCTGGCATAGGTTGGATTTATCCAATTTTGTCCATGAGCATAAGTGTATTCCAGCAGTTGTATTGTGGGTTATATGGAGAAAAATAAATGCTCGAAGCATTGAAAGACAAGGTCAATGTAGTTAATCTTAAACTCAAATATACATACCTGCTTAGTTTCAGTTGGGTTGACTTCCTTGGTTCTTACATACTGTAAAGTTCTTTCTTTTGTGGATGTACTTTTGCCTCAAGATTTCCTCAATGCTATTATGTTTTACATCAATATTATCTCTTTGTTATTATGTTACCATCTGCAAAAAAAATATCATCTCTTTGTTGCTCATTCGAATTGGTAAGTACAAATGAGAGTTGTGAAGTATTTGTTTTTTTGTGAAATTCTTTAGTGTGTGCAGAGACGTTACAGTTTAAAAGGATGAGCAGGAATGTAAAGTAAAAAGTATATTGGCTTTTCTTTGAAGTTGAAAGCATAATTTAATAGCCTTGCAAAAGGTGGTCTTTTAAGTTCATTGTTTTGTGTATTTTGTAGTGTGTCCAACTACCTTGAAAAGAATATGTCGACAACATGGGATATCAAGATGGCCATCCCGGAAGATAAACAAAGTCAATCGGTCTTTGAAAAAGATACAAACAGTGCTTGAATCTGTCCAAGGAGTAGAAGGGGGATTGAAGTTTGATCCAGCCACTGGAGGTCTCGTTCCTGCTAGCTCTATCATCCAAGATTTTGATGCACAGCAAAGCATATTTTTTCCCTGCAAAGATGTCTCTGTCAAAAATCCTAGTTCTGTTTTCCAGGACGCTGTGTCTGTACCCTCAACTTCAGGCGTTGACAAAGAAAACTCTATGGTGAAAATGGAAGAGGACTCTTATGTTGATGGGAACCAGCTCGGCCAATCAAATCATATCAATACTAGCTCTTTCAAGGGAGGAAATAAGTCAAGTATACCAGTGTCTGGATTTTGTTATGAACCCAAATTGGCAGCATTAGATGCAATGTCATCTAGACCTGCTAATCAGACGATGCCATTAACTAATTCTAGAAATGCATCATTGGGCTCTTTCTATACAAAAGAAGGATGCGGGAGGTGGGGGTTGGACAATGATACGTTGGACAATCTTGAGTGTCATTTCACTTCTCGGTGCTCATATTCGAAAGCTGCTGGAGGTGATGGTGACACTAAGATGAAAGGAGATAATGAAATGGATGGTGATGGTGGGGTCATTGAACATAACCAAGCCAGTTCTTCAGCGATGACAGATCCATCCAGTGGGTCTGAGTCAATGATGAACGGCAGTTCATCAAGCTCCCGCAGTCGTGGTGCACGGAAGCATTCTAAAGTTGAGGCAAACTTTGGCGATAGTGGGTCAACAATTACTGTGAAAGCCACTTACAAAGAAGATACAACCCGATTTAAGTTTGAGCCTTCAGCAGGGTGCTTCCAACTTTATGAGGAGGTTGCGAAGAGGTTTAAACTGCAGACTGGGACATTCCAACTCAAGTATCTTGATGATGAGGAGGAATGGGTGATGTTGGTAAATGATGCAGATTTGCATGAGTGTCTTGAGGTACTGGATTTTGTTGGTGGCCGCACTATCAAGTTTCTTGTCCGCGATACACCTTATGCTATGGGTAGCTCAGGCAGCAGTAACTGCTTTTTGGCTAGTGGCTCCTAGTACTGTAGCCGCATGCTGGTCAGAAAGCTTCAATCAGCATCTGGTACTCTATATATCCGAGTATGAGGGTTTCTAGTTTACACATGGATCCCTTATAGGTTTGGTTTTGGAAGAGCTTTTTCATTCTACCTTTCAATTTTCCTACAGTTGATATGCATTGTCAACAATCCTTGGACTGCTAAATCTATGTGGCTGAAGTCTACTTGACAGTCTCGAAGATAGTTGCTGTGCTTATTCCTAGCAGAGATCCAAAGAAGAAAACCAAGAGCATAAGAAGATGCACCAGTAGAAGCGTAGTAGGTGGAAATCATTTGTTGTCTGTTTTCTCTTACGTTACATGTGAGATAGATGGCACATCTTTGTATAAATCACAAATGAGTTAAAAGGCACTGTCTCAAGTGCCTTACTACTTTGTAAATATGTTAGTTTAAGTATGTTCTTTTAGGGAATAGTCAAAGCAATAAGTTGTACAATATCCTTTTAGCAATAAGTTGTACAATATCTTTTGAATAAGAAAATGTAAGATATCCTCTTCTAGTGTTTGTCTGTCTCTCTTTCTTTTGTAAAATTAATTGATATTTGCCTAGATACTTGTAATAAAGTAACTGCTGTTCTTAAAAATGGTACAGTATAACCATTTATAATTTGAATAGAAGGAAACTGTATTTTACTTGGTGGTGATGGCCCATGCTAGTATGGTCCAATATTGTAAAAATTGGATTGAATATTGGGATTTTTTTTTAACTATACCATATATGAAACTTTATTATCAAAAATGTGCATTGTTTGTTAATTACCCGCCCAGTCCACGTTTTGCCTACAAATTTTGTACCGTTCGACTATTAGGCATTAAAAGGGCAGAATATTCCCTAAAATTAAGGAGAGAATCTGGGTGTTAATTGATTCTACATTAAATTCAATTTTTAAAAAGGAAAAGGAGATTTCTCATTTGCGTATTTTTCTCCAGAACTACAATTCAAATTCTCGAAAAAAAAAAGAACGAACAATTCAAATTTTCGAGTTTCAACAACTCAAAGTTGAAAAAATCTGTTCTTCGTCGTTTCTTCTATCACGGGAGGTTTGAGAGACTTCAATACCAAGTTCCGTTGCAGCAGGATTAGGGGTGTTTGAGGATCCTGATCCACCACCCTCTACATATACCCTTATCTTCTACTGATCCTCCCACCGCAACTGATCAACCCCTTCAATATCTTCAAGGCTAAGATCAAAATGAAGTCAATGACAATAACTTAAAGCTTGTAAAGAACAACAAAAATGAGAAGAAAAAAATAACAGCAATAGGTCTTCTTAGTTTTATGATATTATCTACAAATTTACTACATATATCTACAATTTGACTACAATTTCTTTATTTGTGCAGGAAATAAAAAATTCTAATATACAGTGTCTCCAGATTGTAGATAAATTGTAGGCAAATTGTAGTTTACTTATAGTTTGTAGTTAATTTGTAGATAAAATGTAGATATATTGTAGATACTATATTTTTAATATTGTAATTTTTTTTTCTCTGTGTTTGTTTTGAAAATGTAGGTGAGGGCTTCAACAGATCATATACATACTGTGTTGGATGGTGTGAAGCGGTACATTGTGTGTCTAGAAAACAAGAAATGTAATTGTGGCCAATTCCAACTTGAAGAACTTCCATGTGTAAATTGTTTTCAGATTGTAGTTATAATGTAGGTTAAATGTAGTTAATTTGTAGTTTTTGTAAAATTTTGCAGACAATTTGCAGATTAATTGTGGATGTCACATTTCTACAATTGGCTCTTCATCTACAAAATTTGTACAAAAAACTACAAATAAAAGCTGCCAAAATAGCAATTCATAACATTCCAATCAAGAAATATGAGAAGAAGTTTAGAAGTGATTTATTATCACGTCTTTTTCCATTAATTGGATCGACACTAACATATCGCCCATGCTGTTTTATGACACTTGATGGCCATGATGGTGATGCCTGCAATCTTGATGGCCACGATGGTGATGCCTGCAACCTTTCGACCAGGTGACGTCGAAACGGAATTCAAACAAATCATTTTCCAGAAAGAGGGAATTTTGTTGGTTACAGAAGAGGAAAAAATGGTAAAAAAGATAGTGGGGTAATGGGTAAAAAACGTGGGTGAAGGGGTGTGAGGGGTANGGAGAGAGAAACGTGAGATATATGGATACCTTTAATTAAGGAGTAAAAATAACCCATTAATTAGATATGGATACCTTTAATTAAGGAGTAAAAACAGCCCATTAATTAGACCCTTATAGGATTGGTAATTTAGTATACGGGTTTGTAATTAAATCAAACCTTAAACATTGAGGGTAATAAGGTTTTATATGTGGTATAAGAATGTAAAAATCCCCTTATTATTTCTGATCTCATTTGCTTTGACGTGTAACTATACAAAGAAAAGACGTAAAAATAGCACGGTCTAGTCAGTTTTCGGACTAGTCATTCAAAAATAGCCAGCGTTTACCAAGTCAATGAAAAATAGCTACTATTTTGCTGCAACAAAGACCGGTCCAGCATAATATACTGGAGTTCGGTGCACCTGTGTATGAACTTCCAGCATATTATGTTGGAACTCCAACACACGAAAAGTTCCAGCATAATATACTGGAGATTCGAGCACTTGTGTATGAACTTTCAGCATATTATATTGGACCGATATACTTTGCTGGAACTCCAGTATATTATGCTGGAGTTCTAGTGTACTTATGCGGGAACTCCATCATATTATGCTGGAGTTCCAGCATACTTATCCTGGAACTACAGTATAATATGCTGGAGTTCAAGTATATTTATGCTGGAACTCCAGCATAATATACTGGCGTATTTTTCGTGTTTTGAACAGTGTTTTCGCTCAGATTTATCTTTACATGAAAAGTGGCTAAATTTCGATTACTTTTAAAACTGGGCTATTTTTGAACGACCACTTATAAATCTGGCTATTTTTGAATTTCTCCCGGAAAAGACGGTAGTCCAATGCATAGAATCCATCTACTTGTGCCATCTTTAGAAAAAATCTCTGAAACCTTAGCTCGTAGAATTTCTATTATATCTTATAGTTAAAGACTTAAAGTTGTATAAGCAATCGCCACACCAAAAAAGACCCCATAGCTCCGTATATAGTTAGGTCTAAAATAGCATAGAAAGGCGGGATTCCAAAGTGATGTGAAGTGGACCTCACATTCTATCATACTGATCTTATTCGTAGAATTGGGTGGGAATTAGAGACATATAAAAAAAGATTTTTGCATCAAAATAATCAATCTCTTCCCATGTTTAATTTAGAAGTTCAGAAGAAATAATCTATCAATATTTTGACCTTGTAAATATAATTGATAGGAATTAAAGAATCCTTTTATCTTGGATTACCTTTCCTTAAATTGGATGATTTACTAAAAGATAGTGTTTGTTGCTCCTTGATCATTAACACAAAATAAGAAAGACGAAATCTCTGAAAAATGATGGGAAGTTCATTTTTGCTTTGAGCTTCGAGAATCTTAATGTGCAGTCAATAACTTATCAAAAAGAATCTTCATGTGCAGTCACCATGTACATCTTTTCAAATGTTAAATTAGCTAATAATATAATATTTTACCCTAAAAAATGGATAACAATTGAATTTATATGCGGTTTAAGGATATGTGGATTAATTCAATATAAGTGATCTATAACATTAGATTAAGCAAATAAAAGACGTGATAAATGGCAAAACTAATGATAAGAGTGAGTCTGAGCTCGGTTAAAGGCTTAATAGGGAACCTGCCTTCGGTTCTGAGCTTGCACTTATGAAGAACTTTATGAACAAAAATAAGAACTTTGAATAACCTTTAGAAACAGAAAGAACAGAAGTATATTGCCTTGGTATACGTGTTATACTGTCCCTAATGAAGAATACGTTTCCTCTTTATATAATAGGGAGTTTTACCCTAAGTACAATTCTAAGAAAGGTAAAAATCATCCTCTTTGCTAATCACTCATTTTCTGCTGATATGGGTCGAGATTCACGCCGTGATATCCGGTTGGGCACGGACATCACGACCCTTTGTTAGTCGTGTACGATTGTTTGGTAATGCTCTCCAAAGTTTTGGGACCGAAACTGGAGGACGAGGTCTCCGAGGGCAGGTGTTTTGCTCGAGCCCTAATACGAGGGGCTCCTTGCTCTGATTCCGATTCCTTACAATCACGTTCCTACTCCATTTTTCTCATCGGAAAATCGGGGTGCTCAGTTGGCTCGATTTTACCCGTATACAGATAGTCCCCTCGTTTCTCATAGAGTAGGCTTGCCGAAATGATGGGAAACGACAGATTTTCTCCGGTTCCTTTCTTCGCACATTACGACGGGGGAGCCTAAACGTCCCATCAATCGCATCATTCTGACTTCGGATACGTTCGCTCATTGTCTGGTTGCCTCGAATGTGAAGCGTCGGCTGTTTCCCAATAAAATCTTCCTCCCTTTGTTCTTTTTCCACTTTTCGACTAAATTATTTCCTTCGAGCTTTCCATCCATCGTCAAACCTTCTTCAAACCTTCATATTTTCATCCTCGTTCTTCAATTTTCATAGTGATTTCCAGATTTTTACCCAAATCTTCTTTAAATCTTCATACTCTGTTCTTCATGTTCAAAACCTGTTTTCCCAAACTTTGCATTCTTTCTTCAAATTTTCAAACCTCCCCCATATAACAATGGCCAAAACATCAAAATCCGTTCCTCAACAAGTTACCCCTTCATCTTCTCAAATGGTCGCCGGTATTGAGGTGCTTGACCGTAAAGTAGTCGCTCTCGAAACGGCTTCCCTCGATATGGTTGTTAACGAACCGGACCCCGAGCCTCCCTTTAAAGCATTCATCCCGGGGGATGGTCAATTGTAGACGACTTTAAAGTCGAGAATCCCTCACGCAAACATGACCGAGGCGAGGGAGTCTCGAGGTACATATGCTTCGTAAATGAAGACGTTCTTCCCATAGTTCGAAAGGACTGCAATTAGGAGGGCAAGGATGTAGTAGTCCCCAGGCCCGAAGACGCCGTTACTACCCATGTCGAGGGGTACTTAAGTGTTTATACTTACCCCTTTACATTGGGCCTGGTGGACCCAGTCGTTCTAAACTTTTGCAAGAGGTATGAGGTGTACCTCGGGCAAATCCATCCATCGCTATGAAGGATCGTGATCCTCCTCCGATACTTTGTGAAAAAGATTGAGTCTCGTCGGTTCACGATCGACCACCTACTTTGATTATATAGTCCCTGAATATTTCGAGGGGGACCGATCAAGCTTGCTCGCCAGGCCAGCAAGGCCTTCGAGTATCGATGAAGATCGAGACTGGGGCTGGCAGGGACGATTCGTTCGAGTGAAAACCAAGGATTTGATCCCCCTCGAATAAATTCCATTCCTTGAGAAGTGGAATGCGTCTCGTAAGTACAATCTCTGTTCAAACGTCAAATTTCTTTTTCTTCAGTCCCTTTCTTCTCATTTATGCTTGTGGTTGTGCAGCTGTCGCGCGTGTTCCGAATGCGGTTCCCCGGC